TGTGGCCTTTGGTTTTTTTTTAAAGCCAAAAAAAACCCCCCCCCCCCCCGCTGAACACAAACCATGTTTCAAAAGAGTTCCTGTATTATTATTTTTGCACGTTAATGCATTTTCATCAGTGACCACGCCTGAAATGTTAAACCAACGCTATTACACTTAAGTAAAGTGCACAGGCATTCATCTGAGTCTTTAACTTTCTACATTAATAATATCTTTGAAAGCCTCTCCTACATCTAGGCCGGATAAATTGAAAAGTTACTTTTAGAGGCATTATGCCAATACCTTTAGATACGTACATACTTTTATAACCACTTTAACAGCATTTGTCATGACATGACTATTAGATCATGACTATTTTGTTCACATGCCAAGACATAAAAACCAATTTTAAGGCAAATGTCTTAAGTTGTTCGGAACCCAACACTATTATATTCTCACTATTTTATTAACACAGCTTTCGGGGGAATTAGTCCAAATGATATTCACCATCTTTCCTCTCTTCAGAATAATGCATGTTCATGGACCAAAACAAGCGACTAAAGTCAGTTTTATAAATCTGCCATTAGCTGCCCGTACTATTCAGACTCGGGATCATCCACTGAAACGCCGAACTTCTCCAGCATTACCTCGACCACAGACAGGTGCAGCGGAATGAATGACAAAGCTAATTTCAGCGAATGTTAGCTTCCTTGCTAACCGTTACTGAACAAAGAAGGCGATAACATGGAAGCTTATGAGAGGAAGTTTTCTTCTAAATGCTATTTTTAAGTGTCGATGCATTCCTTTGCCCTAAGTTGACTTGTTAGGGGGCGTAAAGTGTTAACTTGGCAGCATAGTTAGCAAGCAGGAGGTTAAATGCTAATGCTAGCTACCTGGAGTTCGGTACCCAAACCCTTCCGGTTCGGTCTCTGGACACCGACACGAAAGCTCCCTCTGGAAAAATGGCGGTCGCCAGTCCCCTCACGTCCATCTCGTGGCCAGGGATGGAGCATCTGAGTTTGAACGAGTTGGATGATGCCATGTTTTTTGACAACGACAACAACAAAGTGAAACTATGACACCAGTGTTACAGCTAAGCGGTGTCGCTGTCAACATCCGCCGCTTCTGATTCCGGAAAGGGAACTGTGTCATCACACGCAAACGACTCGGTCTTTCAAAATAAAATGACTATTTTGTTTGTTTTACTTCGTAATTTAATCGCCATTCAATTCAAATACACTTTATTTGTGTTAAAGGGATATCCATGTCGTAGTAACTCATAGCATCCAAGTGCCTTCGAGTCGTGTATGGTGATGCTAGGGGCAGGAAGGATCTCCAGTAGCAGTCATTCATGCAACGATTCTGAAGAAGCCTCTAACTAAAGACTGTTGTTGTATGTCTTATGACCATCATGACATATGAACAGCTCAATATCCGAATAACAGAGACAATATTCCAAAGTAACATGGTATGAATGACAACAATCCACCTCATTTGCATTTGCCTGTACTTCTTAAATCTCTGTCTGGCCATGTGGTTAAAGCTGGGCAGAGAGATGTTGGGGTCTGAGATATGATTTTTGCCCATCATAATCAATGGAAGAGATGGTTTGAGTTTCCTCCTTGGTCCTGCTCTTTATCCATGACGCCTCCTTTTCAGGTTCTTGGGGTTTTGGGGTCAAAGCTCAGGTAGTATTTCAGCTTTTGTGATGCTAATCAACTGCTCTATATGGCTGCAGAGCAGAACCAAGGACGAAGCTGGAGCCATCTCTTCATATCCCAAATCATATCCCAAACTGCAGTGTATCCCTGCATGTCTTGTTAATTATACAGCCAGACATAGATTTAAAATAAAATAGATTAGAATTGCTTGCCAACAACCTAAGATGTCATCCAGGCCATATTAATGTGGAATAGCGTCTCTGCTGCTTGGATATTACGTTGCTAGCATGTCTTAGTAAAACAGTCTTCAGATTCATTGCAAGATTGACTGCTAATGGAGCTACTTCCTGCCCACAGCATCACAATCCACAACGACTCTTTAAAGATGGATGATGAGTTACAACAATAGTTGGGTATTTTTTAATTGAATTGAACTGAATCAGTTTGCTAAAAACAACATATTTCCCTTCACATTCACATGGGTGAGTATTAGAACAGCATCCATGCCTTTAATTTCCTAACCGTGACTCAACCGGAAGCAGAACTGTTATTGCAGGTAACCAGGACCTGTCCATCCCACACAGAGTCGGATGAGGAAGTAGCCGCTGGGTAACTACATGCACTCCGCAGGGCGGCGTTAAATCAAAGAAAAACGTAAGTCGTGTTTTCCTGTGTATAATAATATCATCTCTGACACTTCACGGGTTTAATAGTTTATTCTTACGCCATCATAACTGAGTGTAATACCGCTGGGCCCAGCTGTTAGCTATAACATTGTTGGGGTTGAATGGAGCCAAGCCCATCACGGTGTCAGGTGTTATCAGTATGAATGGAGATGGAGGAGGCAAAGCATACAGTGACAACTACTTCTCGGTTAAAAATCCAGCATTTCTACATTTAACTTACTGAAACACATTATGGGCTTCTGCTGTGGTCTTATTCTCTGACCTGAAAAAGATGAGATGAGATTCATTTGTATACGAGTCCCCAAATCTCTGTTTTATTTGACATCTGCCATTCATTTAGAATTAATTTAATAATTGAAAATTATTCAGCAGACTGGACATAGGATTGTTGATTCTGACGCTCATACATGTGTAATAACAGCTGCTATTAAAAGATTGATGTCAAACGTAACAGGTGAAAAATCGAGGTTGTGATATTTTTTTTATCACGGCGTATATTTTTATTTTTGACTCCTAATATTGCCTAAAGTGTAACAGAAATTTTAGGCAATAATCTTCCAATTATTTCCAGTTATGATGTTGAAAACGCCATAAAAACAAATAGCGCTTTTGTATTGTTATTTTGAGTTTTGTTTTTTTCTTTCTTGAGAAAATCGATAAATATCAATACATTTCTAGTGGTCATTGGTTGAGAGGCAGGGTACACACTGGATGGGCCACCAATCCATCACAGGGTAACATACAGGACAAACAACCATGCACATGCTTTTTTTATCTTAGGACAAGGAGAATGATTAACTCTTTATGGGCAACACGGACAAATAGTTTCAGCTACAAGTGAAATGAAGTGAAGCACAAAACGGAAGGAGGCTCAAGCATTTCCTGTAACAAACAATGCAGATCCAACTCCCCTCTTTGGATAGAGGTGACAATGACCCAGAAACCCCACAGGATGGGCTGGGCGGGTCAGTGAAACTCTTTTAAACACTTTGCAAGTATTTGTAAGCCTAAAACTTTCAACCAAAAAGGCCTTTCTTAGAGGAAAGGCCTTTTGTTTAGGAACTAGAGAAAGTCATCTCGGTCTAATCTATCGCGGTGTTAAATGTAATCTCAGGGAAACTTGGTTTGGATTAGTTTCCAGAGGCAGTCAGGACCCAGCGAGCGGGAGCAACAGCAGCAATGAAGCTTCGCCTTCACTTCGTAGTGGATCCGATGGGCTGGCTCTGCATCAGCATGGTGTTTGGGATCTGGCTCTACAACACGTTCTTCGTTCCCAAACTGGTGCTGCTCCCACACTACGACGAAGGGCACATCCCCTGGGCCTTAGTTGTTTGTGAGTGTCGCTGCTTCCACTGAGGATTTCGGTAACGGTCCAGTGAACGGCTCTGGCTCATTAAGCCTCACGTCTGTACGTATCCACAGGTTATTACCTGGCGTCGGCGCTCTGTCTGATGGCACTGTTCCGAGCTTCCACCGCAGATCCCGGCCGTCTTCCTGTGGATCCACATATACCTCACTCTGGTACGGAAAGCCTTTCTTTCTGTGACTCTTTCAGTGTGCCATGAAGCATTTGCAGCTCTAAACTTCAGATGCATTTGTCTCACAGAGAGAGAACAGTGGGAGTTGTGCAATAAGTGCAACTTGATGAGACCTAAAAGGTCGCACCACTGCAGCCGCTGTGGCCACTGCGTGCGCAGGATGGACCACCACTGCCCCTGGTGAGCCCATATGGTTACTCTGATCTTATTTATTCCCATTAAATGCTTGCTTGACTTTGTCTGGCGTGTTGAAATAGCAGTAAAGGGCCTTCTGTATTTAACAGTCTTCGCAAAACTATTCACACCTTCTTGAAATTTCTCACATGTATTTTATTATTTTACAAGTAAAAATCTTGAAAACTGTTTTTTTTTTTTATCATCTTCTGAGTCAACACTGTGTGGAATCACGTTTTCACTTACGGCTGCAGGTCCTCTGTTGTACATCTCCACCAGCAAACTGAGATTGTTGCTCAATCTTCTTTGCAAAATAACTCAAGTTCGCATAGGATTGTTTCTGTCTTATTAGCCATCAGCTTTCTACAGATTCTCAGCCTTAATTGGACCATTCTAACTAAAGAATATAATTTGATCTAAGCCCTGAACCTCCACCCCGGTCTGAAGACGTTTCCATCCTCAAACAGATTTCTTTAAGTATTATCTTATATTTAGCATAGAGCTGGGTGATATGGCTGAAAAACATATCGCAGTATAAGTGTTTCTTGTCAGTTGATAATTTTTCATTAGTGTTTGTTTTAAATATCTGTAAATTTGCCAACCTTTCTTCTCCAGCTGTTGCACGCATTTTCTCCCTTCACTCTTTGCTGCTGTTCATTGTTTTTAAGCAGTTACGAACCGCGCTGGCGAAACCTGAAATTGCTGCCACACAAGTTCCTCAACAGGTCGTTGCTAGGTAACCAAAGAGTGAATGAGTTAGTAGATTAGTATCCTAAAGCCTTTCCTCTGCCTACATCTCCCAAAATGCTTTGTGGTTCTGGATTGGAAGTTCAGTGAAATGATTGAACATTCGATTGGCCGTATTATCAATGGATGCTGATTGCGTGTTTGTTGCTGAGCCGCAGCTCCATCCGTCTCCCCACTAACTGTTATCAGCTTCCCTGTTCCTGCTGACAAAGAGCATGCCCACAGTATGATTCTATCTCCACCATGTTTCAAGGTGGTGATGTGTACTGTATTTAGTGTGGTGACTAATAAAATAAAATACAATAGGAAAATAAATATTCTTTATTGTCTCTCAGTTGAGAAATTCAGGTGTACCAGCAGAATCCCTTCACACAAAGACAGAAAGTATTAAAATTAGAATACCGTATTTTCCGCACTATAAGGTGCACCTAAAAACCTTCAATTTTCTCAAAAGCCGACAGTGCGCCTTATACATGGACCAATATTGAGCCACAACAGGTCTAGCAACTACGGTAAGCAGCCGCCGACTTCATTTTCGCCCGTAGAAGAAGCGCGCGGTGCATGCTGGGATAGTTGTCAGAACGCTGGTTTGTAATCTATTAATAAAGTTTGACTGACCTATCTACCTACCGACCGTCTAGTATCAGGCCATCTGCAGGTCATTTAGCACCACGTTCTCCACGAACATACTGTGCGCGAACGGAGAAGGGTGACCATCGTCCGGCCACGCCCCGGACTGTTTTGTTGACATTCACTTTAGTGCAGCTCCATCTAGTGGATGCATAACGTAACTGCAGCTTCTACTGTAGGGTCTATTCTAGGCGCCTTATAATGCGGTGTGCCTTATATATGAAAAAAGTTTTAAAGTAGGCCATTCATTGAAGGTGCGCCTTATAATCCAGTGCGCCTTATAGTGCGGAAAATACAGTATATGAAAACTAAAATCATAGTTTGATCACAATTTGACCGTTGCAACTGCCTGTACTCGTGCAACCCCATAAGTGATCCCTTTCACACCCAGTTTGAAGGTTCCAGTGCCTTTCAAATTGGATCCATTCATTTCCTGTCTCCGTTCTGCATGCGTATTAGATTCGCCCCGGTTTTGTATTTTTGTGGATTCTTTTTGTACATTACTTTCAAATTTTTCTCTTGTGTATTGGCGAAAATCAAAAGCACAAACTTCACACACATAAAAGGAGAGCTGATGCTTGAAACTTGAAACTTGTTTTTTTCTTCTTCTTGAGGTGGCAGGGTGCCGACCAGCCTCACTGTCTCCTCTCTGATGATGTCGTCCAGGAATACATCCATCCCTACTTTCAGAAAAGTTCAAACCCTTACTCTGGTTTCCTGTCTTGCAGGATCAATAACTGTGTGGGAGAAGACAACCACTGGCTCTTCCTGCAGCTGTGTTTTTACACTCAGGTCCTCAGCTTATTCACACTGGTGCTGGACTTTTGCCAGTACTATTATTTCCAGCCCCTGACAAGACTAGACCAGGTGAATTGATGCGTTTGCATTCTTGCCAATATCTGGAAGTAGCTTTAACTTGTACATGAATTATAGTCAAACAGAGCTTCAAGAAAGAAAAACAGAAAAGCTGGAGTTGTTTATTGTATTTACTGTTTTTTTTCTTTTGTTTTGTTTTTTCTCCCCTTTCAGGAAAAGTTTACGACACGTCATGAACTGGCTCTGCTGCGAGTTTCAGCGCTCATGGGCGTGGTCATGTTCGGTGGCATGTCGAGCTTGTTTTACGCGCAGATGGCTGGCATCCTCTCTGTGAGTACTTTCAGGACAGTAAAATACTGCTGCTCTGACGTTGCCTTTTCCCAGCCTGCAATATTGATGGCATCCTAGTGACAGTGTGAATCCAACATGACCTTGCTGTCCTTTGAGGTTTTGATTGAATATTAACTTCCTTGTATCCTTGTCCAGCTGTGTTCTTCACTGCTCCAGTTGCTCCAATTTTTGATCCTACTGAAAAATACGAGCAACCAGCCACCCACATTTAAAAACACAAGGCTACTACTTTTTAGTGATACATTGAAATAAATAATCATATATAATTTCTTTTATTTTTTGCAGGATATGACCACTATTGAGAAAATGTCTCAGTTCTCCAGTGAAACGTGAGTCTGTTTTTTGTTTTGTTTGTTTGTTTTTTTATCTCAGATGGTTGCAGCTTGAAATTCATGCAAGTAAAAAGAGGCTCCTGTCATGAACATCATTCAAATCATCAGGTTCTATATTATTGTGTCCTCTGGTTGTTTTAAACCTCATTGTGTAGAAACATATCAGGCTCCAGGAGTTCATATCATATGTACATTCATAGAGTAAATGATTTTATGAATCAAAAAACGTGCTTCAAAGGACCTGCAGTATATATAGAATCTATATTTCAGGACTCATCCAAGTTTAAATTGGCTTTATAGTCCAAAAAGGAAAAGGCTGTGGGGATTTTATGCTTTTTACAATAAAGGTTGTGTTAAGAAGATTAATGTTGGTTTTTATTAGATGTTATCTGTTCAAGAGAAGATATTGAAACAAATAAGTTGAAATTTTGCCAATGTGAATGTTTAGGATTTTGAGTTCTTCAGCGCTTTGTTATCAGAATCAGACAAGTTTATGTGCATAAACAAGGAGTTTGACTGCAGTTTCCCATCCTCACACTGCACGGATATTAAATGTAAATACATAAACATTAAATATGATTAAAAACCAGCTAAAGAACACTGCCAGGTTTTCCCCTCTGTGCATTTTAAGCCTGGTGAGCCACCAGTCTTAAAATTCATGCCGTCCCCGATGCCGTGCCGCCCTGGGTGGGGAGCTAAGTTTCTCAAAAAGCAGCCACCGGCTGTAATACGTAAAACAAAACTTCCAAATGCTTTAAGGTGATGTATTTTTCTGCTTAGATATGGGACAAAAAGATCGTGGCAGTGGGCGCTCGCTGAGGTTTGTGGCACTCGCTGGAAACTTCTGTGGTTCCTCCCGCTGCGCAGCAGGCAGCCGCTTCACGGCGGCCACCACTACCGCAGCCACGTGTAGCTCTGCGGCTCGATGTTCCCCTTCCTGCCTTTCGGTAGAAGTTGCTACAGTCAAACACTCCACATACTCCTAAAACGAATCTGTCTGCACACCTTCACCACCCTCTGCTGCACAACGAGAGCCGGTTTAGCGGACACTTTACTTTTGTGTTGTTTTGTTCTGGTTTTTTGCTTGGTTTTATTCAGTTTCTCTCCAGGAACAGGGTCACAAACACTGTTTTGGAAGGACGGAGAAATGTTTTGATCACTGTGACTGCTATTTTTTAGCATCTGGAAACCACCTTTAATGGTTATTTACACGACGGGGATGGAAGCAGTGGGACATCTCTCAGGTTACGTCATAAAGAGCCTTCACTAGTAATTAACTACAGGCAGAATAACTACAAATCTGTTAGAAGTGTTTGATTTTTTTTCTTTTTTTGTATAAAGTTTGTGCCTTGTTTTTGTTTTTGGTACTTTTTATTTACCAAATTTTAGAAAAGGGTCTGAAGTATGACTACCTTCTAATGATTCGTGAATGTTTTCTTTGATTGTTTTACTATGTGTGTACAATGTGTGTATTTTTTAGGATCATAATGCCACTGATACCTTTCGATCTAGAGATGTCATATGACTGCTGAGAGCACTAACGCAAAAACAAGCTAATATAATCACTCCTCGATAGTGACTTTCATAGTTAATCCTGCTGTTAAATATGAGTTTAATATTTACTAATTAGTAGTTGATGTTTGCTGTATATTATTTGTCAGATTATGCTGATGGAGATACCTTGAGTCATGAAGAGTTCAAGTTCCACTCATGAGAGATAACAAAAATCTGTCTCTGATGCAGTCATGGGAATAACTAAGTACACTCATTGCATAATTTATTAGCTTGTAGAACTACCATTAGCAGCAATACCCTGACTTTATCAGTCACTCAGCATCAGTCCACTGAGGATTGTAGCCCTTATTTATGGCTCATCCACAACGCCATATCAATTAGGTTGAGGCCAATAACCATAGCAACACATTGATTCCAATTACCTAATTGGCTAATGTTTCTATCTGTCTGACCTTTAGCTGTTGGACAGATAAAACTTTGGCATACAGAGGAGTTCAGGGTTACTGTGGCTACCAAACAAGCCCAAATCATTGCTCTGATTGTCGTATGGTATGGTTGTATGTATGGTATTTTTATCAGTGTGGCGCTGATTGTTATGGTCAACTATCTCTGCTTTAATCTCGATCATGTCTTGTGGTTTGCACCATTTTTACCATTCCCTGCATGAACTTTTAACACTTCACACACAAAGTGATGGTTGGAGAATCTGCAACTGAGCTCTTGTTTTGTTTTTGTTCATTCCTCTGAGAGTGAACAGTCTGAAATTGAACGTTTTCTGAGATGTCCAATCATAGAAAAACTGTCAACTGACTTAAAAGAATTTCCACTCTGAATAATATTTATCTCTGTAGAATGAGGAGCTTTAAATTATCTGGAAGTGTCTCTATAATCCTTCTGAGGTTGACTGATTGAAGTAGATTGCTGATGACTTTGGTCCTTGTCATTGTGTTAAAGGGGCAGTATTATGTAAAATCATCTTTTTTTTTTTTAGCTTTACTTCATGTTATAATCATATTCCCCCATCAAAAACATACCTGGAGGGTTACTTTGATTCTTTCATGCATGTTTGAGAAATCCTTGAATCTCCCATGGCAACCATTCAGCTATGTAACACGTGTAGTCTCACTGAGTGACGTCTTTTCTACGCAATTTCCCTATTCAGCTCCTCCAGACTAGCGGCAGCAGCAGTTAGCAAACAGCTAGTGGAAGTATGAGTCTGTGCAGTGCTGCTAAACACATTGTAATGAGTGTCAGGAAGAGCAGGATCTTCTTAAAGAGACATGGACCCAATTTCAAGGTGTTCAATTGCAAAGTCAAATTTATTTTAAGTAATTTTAGGTATTTTAAGCATTCTTCATAACAACAAATGGTAAGATATTTTCTTTATTGTGCTATAAAATGGCACAGTACCTGGAAAAGACATAATACTGCCACTTTAACACAGACCTGTGTTCTCCAACAAGAAACCCACGCTTTTATAGAGGCGGTCAGACTTGCTGATGATCAGTTGCAATTTCAAAACGGCACCTTACTGCTACTTTTTCTCTAAAATCTAAAACAAGCATCACACTAATACTTAGATTTTTCCCTTGATTGTGCTGACAGTTATGGAAACTTTATTTCTTCCACCTGTGTAGGTTAAGTCAGTGTGACAAGTCAGTTTGCTGCTGAATAGATAGAAGAAATACAGTCATTTTCACATTCAAAGAATAAATATACTGACCACATTGGCAATCCGTTATTTTAAATCAACTTGCTGTATTGACCATAGCACTTACAATACAGAGGATTGGTACAAATAGTTTTCCTGTGGATTTTGAGACATGATATTTGAGCCCTGTAGTTTATTTTTTCTGAATGTTTTTAATTTATAAGTGCATATTTATATCTCTGATAGGGAAGCTCACAGATTAGTATTGTTATATACAGACAAAGCAGGAACTATACATTTGCTTCTAAAAACAGGCATATGGAGGAAAGAAATTATCCAAATTAGCAGAGCAAACCATAGCATACTGTCTAAAATACAAATGATATCAATTTCCAACACTTTGTTACTAGACATTCATAGAATGAATGTTTCTAGCAAAAGTGAAGGACTGCCAGTTCAGTTCCAATTCAGAACAAAAGTAATCTCAGTTCAATATGATTCAGTTTTATATAATCCAAACCCATTCTGCTCAGTCTAAATTATTCCAGTGAAGCCCATTTGATTCTTTGTAGGCAGGGATTTGTTGTTGATTTATTTTTGTTGTTCTGCTTTCTTTTTTAAAATTTTTTAGGTGCTGTGTGGCTTGATATTCAACAATCCTATCCCTATTAAGAACTGTTTTCTACTACCTAAAGTCACCTTTAAAAAATTGTGATAGAGATTGAATTCATGCGTTTGCCTTTGAAAATAGGATTTTATGATGGTCAGAAAACGATTGGACTTTTGAGGCTAACAGAAAACAACAAGAAGTTTTGTGCTAAGATTTCTGTTCAGTCTTAACACTTAGCTAACTGTTCTGTGCTAACAGTTTGCTAACTGTGCCTTGCTTACAACTTGGTGTTCTATTCTCGCACTAAGCTAACTATTCTTTTTGCTTATTCTTAGCTAAGAGTTCTGTGCTAACACTTTGCTAACATTTGCATTGTAAAACAGAGCTAACTTCCCTGTGGACAGCTGCTCTTCTTTCTAACACTTAGCTAAAAGTTCTGTGCTAACATTTGGCTAACATTTGCATTGTAACAAAGAGCTAATAACAGTTCCTTCTGAATATTTAGCTTACTGTTACGGTCTGACAGTTTATAAATTGTTCTGTGCTAAACTTACCTAACTATCTTATGCTAACACTTAGCCATCTGTTTAAAAACAGGAAAAGTATCTCATTGTAATAAGAAACTTTCTTGTTTTAGCTTGTTAAAATGTGTTTTATGTTTTAACAAGATTTTCTATCTCAATAAAACCAAAATATGTTCTAGTCATAACAGTAAATTTCCAACAGCGCAAGGTGTTTGAGTTTCATTTAGAGAAACCAGTGAAAAGATGGAGAGTGAGAGGAAAACCTTTATGCCTTTATTAGAAGTGGTAATCTGTCAGCTACGTATTTTTGTAAGTTGTTGAAATGAGAAAGTCGACTCGTTATAATGAGAAATAAAACCTCATTCCGTGAAAACGAGTTTTGTATCTCGTTATGACAGTAAACTTTTTTGCTTTAATAAGACACTGCTCCTGAATTTATATCCTAGCCCTGGCAGTTAAATGCTCCTGTACTTTCGTGCTAACAGCTAGCATCAAAATGTTGCAAATGCATGTTTTTTGCAGTTTAGGCAGTGGTGTTTGCTCTGCTAACACTGTATAATTTATTTATGATTGTTTTGTTATATCTGTTTGAAACTGCTGGAGACCTTACTGATTTAATTAGAGAAATATATAATGTCATAGTTATACTAGCTTTGTGTGAGCAAGTTTTTCTGAAAAACCTGTATGTAAACAAAGCCTATTGTGTGTGGAGAGAATACTATATTGTCCAAGTAGTTTTAAATGCCTGTCTAGGTCACCTCTTTTTTTTCTTTTACGTTTTTTTTTGCCATCACTACACACTCCACACCGACCAAAGATCTGGGAAAATGTTGCAATAGTCAGCAAGCATTTATTAAATGCATGTTTCACCAAGTTTTTGATGGTAGCAGTTCAATAATATGCACTGAATTTTATGCTAGCACACAGTCTGTTTTAAAGTGAAGACTTAATTTTAAAAGAGAGATACATTTTTAAAATGAGTCCTCACTGTAGGTATTTGTTGAATTTTTTCCAGTTTGAATTTGCATGAGCGTGGTTTCATATGTTTGCTCATCGGTTTTTGTAGCTCATGTTCGGGTTCTTGGATGTTTGGAAATTTTTTATCATGATTTTAGGTGTTTGGGGAGGCAATGCAAGGGAAAATGTATGTTTGATTTTTTTTTTAAGTTGTTTTGTTTTCCTTATTTGGTTTGAAATTTTTGAAGCAATAAGCATTGTTTGTTCATAATTTTGCTTTGACCGTTAAACTTTATTTTTTTTGTATTATTATGTTTACATTCTGGCCGATGAATCTGAACCTGTGTCTGACCTTTAATGATGGCTGCCAAGCTTAACATTACAAGTCACCGCCTTGCACTGCGTCGCTCTCAATTGTAGACGTGAATATTTCCACGAGGCAGCTGTTACTTGGCATCTCGCAGGAGATTGGAGTTTGGACCTTTTGAATTTTTTTTTCACTTTGCTCTTTTTATGTTTCTCAATGTTTCGTGTTCAAACCTTGTTTTGTTCTAAGTCAGACCTCAAACACTGGAACATTTGTTTTGTGAACGTGTTACCAGTTACTTTTCTGTTTATAAAGTCTTATAAAAAGTTGCCAATTTATTGCGCTGAAAATTGTGATTATAGCAAATATATAGGTATTCATATTTGAATAAATTACATTCTGAATATGTTTGTCTGTTGCTTTTTTTGTTGTTTTACAGTATGTAATCTTTATTTACAATTTTGTGCAACATATTTGCAACTAACAGATTCCCCCCCACCCCCAAATTAAAGTTTCAGATTATCAGACAAATGTCAATACCAAAAAGATTAGCTGAGTGAAAACAGAAAAGCAGTTCTTAAACATTATTAGTATTATTTAAAAAAAAAAAAGCTACATGGCATTAGGTACAATTATGATTAGTGTGGAGAAGTCCAAGTGGTATGAATACTTTTGCAAGGCAATGATTTAATGTAAATGTGGGTATAATATTAGTTTCAATCACACATTTTTTCTAAGAAGCATTATCACATTATAGGGTGAATCTTAAAAACAAAATGTGTCAAATGTTCTGGGAAAAATCTTTCTCAATAATTTCACTTGGATCTATAAATGAGGAACATTTTCCCTTTTTCAATATCACATAAAAAATGCAACTGAAATTAAAGAATAACAAAAAAAAAAAAAGAAAAGAAGCCAACTTTGGCACCTTTACCTTATGAAAGATATGAGGATTAATCGAGAGGAAAGATTTATTAACTAAAACATGCTTCTTTTTTTAAACAAAAATAATTAGCATGAATGTTGCAGAAGTGGCCTGAGGCGTCGGTTCAGCCGTCTCTAATCGGTCATTGTCCCGAAAGCATGTTTTAAGTCTCAGCGATGCGTGCCAAATGTGTGCACGATCCGTGAACACAATCCAAGTGTCCTGTCTAACATGGTTTTATGCTTTTGACATAGTCTGACCCAAACACACACACACACACACACACTCATTGTGCCACCCTCGGCAAACTCGATTGTCCCCAATTGTTCTCAGCTTGAAGGAGGTCATGACACCGCAGCGTGATTGTGGAGGACGGGATCAGTTCATCGCTGGTGACTTTTGTGTTTATCATCCAAGGTTTGAGTCATTATACGCGGTTTGACTTTGCCTAATAGCTCCCAATTATTATTAATAATATTTTTAGAAAGACCACAAGTGGAAGTCGCGTCTTTAAAATGGTTAATAAATGACTTTCTGCAACAAAAGAGGCTCTTGTGAGCTTGCTGGGGTTTCAATAAGGGTTGATGTCACAAAAACATGGGGTTTCTAACAAAACTACACACATGTAATTTGTCAGCTTTGTCTCTCATGATGGCGTTGAAGGGACCCAGTGTAGATAATAGCAGTCTGCTGCAGTCTGCTTCTAATCTGTTGTAATGGTTGGGTCTGCTGGGCTAATTAGATAAATTACCACCTGCTCTTTCTGTCATCTATGACATCTGGCTGAACAAAAGAAAAATAATTAGCCACATGCCTAATAAACAGCTATGCCTCCAACAGTTACATTTCAGTTCATGTTTACCTGTCTGGGATTGGACTTCTGCGGCTTGGCCTGCTTTACTGCTATTTTGCTGAGCTTAGACTCGGATTAAAGTCTCTGACTTTATTATTGGGTCGCTAGCCATCAGGCGCGTGATTATTTAGCGATTTCTGTCCATGACGGCCATAGAGCCTGTAAAAAGTGGGCTCTACCTCCAGAGCAGAATATGCTTTGAATAGGTGTCTTTCTCACATTAAAATCCTTCAACCTTCCTTAAATCTGGAAATATTCTGACATCAAAAGTCTTAAAGGTTGCATTTTAATTTTCTTTCACACATGGTAACCGGTTGAACGTGTCTTCACCCTAATAAAGGCGTAATTGGATTCATTAGACCTCAGCAGGCCCCGTTCGTGGCAGGCGTCAGATGAGTTCCTCCATTTTGCAGCTCCGCATGCTGAACTTCCTTCAAATCGATTGCCCTATTGATTTTCAAATACCGTGTCATTTTAGAAAGGTGAAATCCAATTAAAAGTTGAAGTTAAAACAGCTAATCCAATCAAGACGATGAAATGCATCGATTCCAACCTTAAAATCAATGTCGCGGGCCGCTCTCATGCAGGGACTGAAACATTTTCCATTTTGCTCCCCTGAAAGAACGAGGCACACACCGACAGCCGGAGAATGCATCTAAGTTTTTATTTTCTTTTTAATAAGTGATTCAAGTAAACAAATGATTTCACCTGTAAAATCTTTGATTTGTTCTTTTTTTGTTTGGATTCTTTTTATGTTTTATGGTGACAATAACAGTGCTGCTGACTTGTTTTACTGTTTGTGGTGTACATGAATATTGTATTAAACTATGCTAACATATATTTGATAAAGTAATCGGGTTTATGCATTTCCCTGTTAGTCAAACAATCAATCTGATGTGATTTTTTTTTCTTTTCCCACTCGATTCCCTCAGTTATTATCGAATAAAGAAAAGAAAAATGTTAGTTTGAGTTTTTCTTTGCCCTGTAATTTCTATTGGCTCTCTTTTATCTTTGGACGATAGTTTCTTCCAGATCTTTTTGATGTCGACACAACCAGGTAACTTCCACCTCCTCACAGCTGTTTGGACCGATGACCTCTGAATCTACCGTTGTTTAGAAATGGCTCTATAAGACATTCCCAACTTGTGTGAATCTGCAGTTCTCCATCTTAGATCACCACTCAAAATTTGTGTCCTGAAATGTTCCAATGAGTACTTTTGAATAAATCCACTTTTACACAGGCAATCGTGGTCACCAATAGACCATGAGCTTGGTCAAGTTAAAAGACTTTCAACAACCTTTGGCGTCCGTCTATACCCACTTATCCTCGCAGGATTGTGAAATACCCACAATAAGTTTAAACGAGCACACTGGAAAAAGAGCTATTCAAATAAATCAGAAAGTCTCCACAAATTGATAGAAAATGTGCTTGTAAACGTCTGACCACAACTTTATTTCTAAAGTAAAGAAACACTTTCTTTAATTCGATTCAGCCTTTGTGCCCTCTCATTTCAACCATGTGTGATTACATATGCTAAGTTACTTTTTCCAAGTCCGCCCACAGTCGTTGTGGGGAAATCCAGCTGCCACCGAGCGGCCGGGCTGAGGAGGATTGGAATGCAGCAGGAGAGAAAAACTCTTTTCAGATAACATTTATGTGGACACGCAAAAGCTGCTTAGTTCACAGAAAGGAAAAAAACACAGCTGGACACAGATGGTCCTAACATGGTGCCACCCCCCACCCCGTCTGAACAAACACTTTTACAGATGCCTTCTGTTAATATTATATTACAGAAGACGTTTACCGTATTTTTTCGGACTATAAGCCGCTACTTTTCCCCTACGCTTTGAACAATGCAGCTTGTAGCCCGGTGCGGCTTTTCTGTGGATTTTTCTTCAACCACCAGGGGGCGTTTTAGCAGGAAGTGAATCATTGGAAGTCAAAATTGGAAATCAAAGAAGAAAGGCTAATTTTCATTTAGAACAACCACATGCTAGCAGCAGGCACGACGGAGAAATTTCTTCAAACTCATGATGTGGCTTTTAAGTTAAATGTTATTGATCTGCCAGTACAGGAGGGAAATAGAGGAGCTGCACGTAAACTCACCGTGAACGAAACCCTGGTTCGGCGTTGGAGACAGAGGGCTGCCCTCTGCTATGTCCTTGAGCGCCGTGCTGAGGTGTTCTTACAAATTCAGGTTTTCACATTTTGCTACATTACAGCTACAAACTTCACTATATTCTCTTTGGGAGGAATCGACTTTTTGGGGGCAAAATGAATG